CTACATTCATAAAACTTTTTAAAATTATTTGTATTGCTTATATATGTTTTCCATTCATTCAGAAAGAAATTAATTGAATAAGTAATCTTGCAAAGGGGATGCTTCTATCACATTTATTTCTACTGTACTATAAACTCCTTATTATAGCAAAGGAACCTCATTTTGTTCATCTTTTAGATATTTTCCTGGCATCTTGCATATAATGGGCACTTAAAGGTTTATTTGAAAATGAAGAGACCATTTTTGGATGACTTGTGATGATTTCTGGGGACTAGTGTTATGTATTATTGTACAACCCTATGATAAGTACTATCAACCTAATTAACCAGATAAAGAAGCCAAGGTGGAAATCACAGAGTGGGTCAATGGTAAATTTGAACCAAGCTTCATCATTCCAGGCTATTAGAATGACCAAGGGTTACAAAAAAAAAAAAAATACATAGGAGTCAGAGTGAGTACCTTACTACCTGAGGGAATTGCAAAAAGATCCCAGTGACAGTCAAGTCTTAAAGGATGAGTAAGAGTTAACATTCTTTGTAAAGGTACAAAGTGTAATAAAATCACTTCATAATAAAATCAGATAACTGGAGTTATGAATGAATATACCAAGCAGGGAAGAATCTGATCAAAAAGAACTTGTAATCCAAGCTAAGGAGTGCAGTATTTGTTCTGATATAATCAGGTTGGGTTTGTACCAGGAAGGAGTGAGGGTTAAAAAGCAGGAGATCTGGGCCCTCCCTGGTGGCACAGCACTAAGAAGCTAAAGCCACTTCAGCATGAGTTTGATCCCCTGCCAGGGAGCTGACCCACATGGCGTGGCAGACCTCTCCTGACCCATCCGCTGCTCCCCTTAGCAGTGTACTTCATCTATCTGCTGTTCTGCTTCCCACAGTCTCTGGTGAATCCTCTCACCGCCCCTGAGCCTCTGGCCTGTACCCCAGCTTACCCCAGTTCTGTATGCATAAATAAATCTTAAAAAAAGGGGGGGGGGAATCTAAAAGTGCAATTGCTTATATTAACAAATGGAGAAAAACGATTCCTCTGCACAAAGAATGTGGTAAAATTATAAGCACATATTCATTTTTTTTTCTTTTTACCTAGGAGTGGGATTGCTGACTCCAGAACTTTTTTTAATTTATTTTATTTTATTTATTTTTACACATTTTTGTGCATTTTTCCATCTCAGCTGCAATCCTCTTGGGTTTCCCATCACCAAATAAGCATATAGTCATTTTAAAAACATTGAGAGAAGCTGGAAACTCAAGTAGAGGGAATCTATGAAATTATGTCACATACTATTTGTTACTATGAGCTGCTAGATAAATCCCTTTAAAGTCAGAGATGGGTCAAGTAATATGTAACTCAGCTTCATACGCCTCAGCTCAAATATTAAGGCACACAAAGGAAGTAAAGGATAGTGGTTGGAAAAGACATTTAGTGAGATTTACAGACGCATTCCATTCAAAAGTCACTTATATTTCCAAATAGGAGCAACAGTAGAAACATGATTCAAAAAAGAAAACACTAGACAATGGAATCTTTATGTTAAAAAGAATGATCAAGCCATGACAAGACATGGAGAGCCCATAAATACATACTGCTAAATGAAAGGTAATCTGAAAAGGTGGTATCCTGTGATACCAATTTTTTGGCAGTCTGAAGAGGCAAAAGTAAAAAGTATAGAGGCAGTAAAAAGATCAGGGGCTTGGAGGAGGGCCAGGTAAGGATCAATAGGTGAAGCATAGAGGATGCTTAGGGCAGAAAAATGTGCAGCTTCACAGTTCGTGGTGGATGACATCTGGTGGGAGAGTGCCTCTGGGACTAGTTGCTAGGGTGAGGAGTGAAGTCCAAGGCTAAAATGAAGTATTTCAAGATAGTGCATGTGTCCTGAGATAGACATTCAGGGAAAATCAAATACATGTACTTAGGGACAACCTCGTGTATGTCAAGAGAGTGCAATTAAGAATTTGAAAAAATATTGCTGTTCTCCTTTCAGGACATCCCCTAGTTGAGGAATGGACAGAGTGAAAGTGTAGAAACAGAAAGCTCTTCATTAGGAACACATTCCAACATGTTTTATTCCCCCATCCTCACTCCTCCATGACAGCAGCAGAAGGGAGGAAATTCCATTCAAGAGGTCCAAAGACAATGAGAATTACTCTCTGAGCCTGATGTTCTATTTTAGACAGGAGAAGAGCAGACATTAAAAATGGACGCAGCTTGGGCCTCCTTGGTGGCGGAGAGATTAAAGCTAATGCTATCAAACTACGGCATGAGTTTTGAGTTCCAATCCTGGCAAGGGAGGTTACCCACATGGCGCAGCAGACCTCTCCTGACTCACCCACTGCATCCCTCACCGTGTGTTTTAGTATATTTGCCTATTCTGCATCCCACTCTCTCTGATGAATCCTCTGACCTCCCACCCACGCCTGCATCTCTGGCCTGTAACCCCAGTTCGTATATGCAGAAATAAAAAAGTTATTTAAAAAATGAACTCAACTGTCTTAGGTGTTCCTTACTTCTTGAACTTATTTTTGCTTTCTAGGCTGAGATATTTAGAACATTTTGCAGGAAGAAGAAAAACAGTTGCTTCGTCATCTCCCAAAGGGATGTATTTGGGGCAAGTGCCCTGGAGGATCTTTTCAGCTGCCACCAGGGAACAATTATTGTTCCAGTTGTTTTGAACCTTGTACCTCAGTGACTGGCAGTGCTAGCGTAAGTGGTAGGTGGCCAGTAGTGAGGGGATAGATATTTAGGAGTTAGCTAAACTTGTGCTTTCAAAATGCTGCTGCATGGCAGTATAGGGTCATCTTGACTTGGAGGAAGAAAGGCTTCCCATTGTAGGCAGCATTGTCTGGAAACAGGAAGTTTGCCTGCTACTCTTTCCGCAAGAGCTTAGTCACAAAGTAATGAAGATGACAGGGCGATAGAGGCTAGGAAGAAAAAGAATGGAGTCTGGATTTCTAGGAACAGACCCCAAGTTTTAAAAACTGCAGCAAATGGACAAGGGAATAGCATTGGACAAGGGAGAGAACTGATGGATATTTTGACATGCCTAATCAGTCATGTATCAACCCTTGAAACAAGGGGAAAATATGAAAAAGTACCCAACATCCTGTTTTGGAAAGAAGATAGCTAAGACCTGAGAAACAAGCTCAGCTTCCATCTGTGTAATAATAGTTACCACTGATTAATGCTGGTCACTATTCTGAGTATCTTACCTGTGATATTTTGTGGTGTTCTCATGTAAACAGCTCTGGTAGAAAACAGCGTCAAGGCCACACCACAGATTTAAACAAACATGAGGTAAGTAAGTTACCCAGTGTCACACAGCTCATGGTAAAACTAGAATTTATTTATGTCTGGACAGAGTAAGTCCAGAATCTGATTTCTCACCCACGATGCCTCTGACATCATTTCCACATCAAGCCATTTCCAAGGATTCACGAGAACAATGCCGAGGAGGGGGAGGGGTCCAAAACAGACTGTCGCTGACCCTGAGACTGCGTGTGGCTCTGTTTTCACCTGTATTTCTGGTCCCAGCCTCCCATCCCAAGGTTCTAATATCCCATATTTATTCTTATAATTACAAAGTGTGGATGACAGCCCTAATTATTTCTGTAATTTGAGTTTGTGAAGCAGGCAATTAAGGTTATCAGGTAGCTGGCAAAAGTCCCTTGTAATCTGGGAGGTTTATTTAAAATGAAGGTTTTAGAATGAAGAAAATAGCTAGATGATTGGGAGAAGAAAAACTAGATGAGATGACTAGGAAAGATCAGAGTTTGTTTAGTTTTCAAATAAAAGGAAACAAACTACTAAGTGAAATACTGACATGAGAAAGATGATCATCAGAAAAGAGTAGTGGTGATTTTTTATCATTGGAGTGACTCAAAGTTATCCTTGATTTCCAAGTAGCATGATGGAAAGTCTCCTGGGCAGGAGTGTGGGGATCTGAACTCAAGAAACAACTTTGCCATCTGTGAGTTGTTATCTTAAAACAGTATTTATTCAGCACAGAGATCAACTGTGTGTGTGTGGCTGCATTTTTCTAAATGTAGCTTCCATAGTAAGTGATAAAAATACAAACAAAAAACCTTGTCAGTTCTTCATTGAGGTTTCAATGTGGGGCAGAGTCAGCAAACCCTCTTGGTAAATACTATAATACTATAAATATAAAATACTATAAGTAGTATTTTAGGCCTTGCAGCTTATGTGTACACTATTCAACTCTGCAGATACAATGCAAAAATGGCCACAGGCAAAAAAGAAACAAATGGAGGTGGTTGTGTTCTAATAATATGTTATTTATTAAAGTAACTGGTAGACCAAATTCGTCTAACAGGTTATTGTTAGTTAACCCTTGATCTAGAGAAAGAAAACAAATGTATCCAAATTATGATGATTGTGTTAACATGTGCAAAGGTCCTGTGGCACAGAGGACACAAAACTGTAGAGGGACTGATAGAAAGCCAGTGGGACTTTTGTTGAGCAAGTAAAGGGGGTGTCATGTGAGTGAGCTAGGAAAGAGAGGGAGAGACTGACAGGTCTTGTAGGACATGTAGGATTTTAGTTTTCGCTATACTAACAACTGGCAGTCATTTGGATTCTTTTAAGCAGAATGGTGACGTCGCATTTGGTTTCAAAAGATCACTCACTGTAGTATGTACATTGAATTGGTTGAAACATAAGGATCACTAGAAAGCCGGTTCATTGTTGTGAGGAAAGTATACAAGATTTAAAGAAATGTTCCACAAAGTACAAATGGTAAGAACATTGCTTAGCATAGTCATATTTTACAGGAAGTAACACCATCAACAGGTCACATTCTTTTAAATTTTCTCTATGAACAAAGACAGTGTGAACTGATGAAAGGAATCCTTTTGTTTATACGAACGGGCTTCCTTCACCAGGGTAACTGCTCCTTGGGGTGTTCACTATACAAGAGGAACTGCTCTCCTGCTCTCTCTTCCTCATTCTGCCTCTTTCCTCTTTCCCTCTCTAAAGCACATCGGGGCTGCTGCCTGGAGCCCAGGCTTGCTCCTAACCCATGAAAATTTGCCAAGTATAAAAGCTTCTCAAGAATGAGATGGATCCTGGATCATCCTCCCCCGAGAAGCAGGATAAAGAGAATTTAGTGGGTGAGCTCCTTTCTCCTGCCTTACTCTTGGTTTATAACATGTAAAGCAATGCAAAGACCGTGGCATGTGGCATTATCAAGAGTTCAGAGTAAGCACTGGGCACATTAATGAATATTGAGGCTTTTTAATGTCTTCCAACTTCCCTGGTTGTAGTTGCTTTATAATCAGCAGTCTGTAACTTGCTCTTTTTCTTCAGTTTGAGATAGCCTTTGTATTTATTGTTTCTTTTTTTTTCATTAAATAGCAAACATATGTTGAGCATGCTGAAATGTATCCATTTTAAAGTATCACCCAATGATGCTATGATTAAAAGGAAACATTGGTTTGCATTTCCTTATACCTGCTGAATAGAAAAATGTTAGAGAATTAGTTTAGCCACAAGCATAATAGCTACTTTTAATCCTAGTGACTATTATGTATTACAAAATCATTTTGCTTGAATTATCTTTCTAAATCCTACAATAATTTTGAGGTAGATTCTTTTATAATCTCAGTTTTGAATATGAAGAATGAGTCTTAGAGAGTTTAAAACTTGTTGATGTTCACAGAGTGATGACGATAATGATGTGCATGTAGTTTAACTCCAACCCTACACTTTATATTGCCAAAAAAAAAAAAATCATAGTATAAGCTAGAAGCAGAGAATACATGTGCCATTAACAGTTTTTAAAAGTAGGCATTGGTTGGCCCTCCCTGGTGGCGCAGCGGGTTAAAGCACAGCACTGAGAAATCTAAAGCCGCTTCCGCATGAGTTCAATTCCCGCCTGCCCCGGAGGTGACCACATGGCGTGGCAGACCTCTCCTGGCCCGCCCGCTGCTCCCCTCAGCAGTGTACTTCTTTGATCTGCCTGTTCTGCTCCCCACTCTGTCTCTGGTCAAGCCTCTCACCACCTCTGGTCTGTACCCCAGTTCTGTATGCACAAATAAATAAATCTTTAAAAAAAAAATAAAAGTAGGCATTGGCAACACTGATATGCTGGAGACAGTAAATGTCATTTGTAGGTGCAAGTGTGAGATCTCTTCAAGATCACCCTTTATAGGTTTGTGTTATATATACATGAAGGAAAAATACTTAGCCATAAAAAAGATGAAAGCTTGTCCATTTTTGACATGTATAGGCCTTGAGGGTATTATGCTAAATAAGGAGAAGGACAAACACCTTATGACTTCACTCACTTATAGGATCAATGAAAAGCCAAAGCAGTCAAGCAAACACAACAAAACCACACACACAAACAAAAACCCAGAGGGAACAGTGCGGAGGGAATAATTTGGCAGTGGATGGTGACTGGACTATAGTAAGCACTGAAACCTGTGTTGTGAACTCATGTTACTTCACTAGAAAGAAAGAAAATACACAACAGAAAATAAGAGTTCCCATCATTTTTAGGACATTTAAATAAGTGTCATGGGGCCTTGTAATTTCCATTTTATAAGTTGAAATATTAGCTATACCCCACTCTAGGATAGAAGCTTTATTCCCAGTGTCCAATGACCTATTTAGTAGTGTGCATGGGTCTTCTTGGTTTTGATTGTTTAATATAATGAAAAACTTGCACTATCATGGAACAAAGAAAACTGAGTTTGTGCTTTGCAACTTCTGATTTCACTGCCTTGGGCAGTTTATAAGATGTAGTATCAATCATCCTGTGAGATTTATGAGAAAAGCTTGTCTTGCCCTCCTCCATTTTGTACAAATTAAAAAAAAAATTCTCAGTCCTTCGAGGTGCGCAGGAATTTCCATTCACAAATGTTGAGAGGATGAGGCAAACAGTCTTGTCCTTCTTCAGCTCCTGGAGGAGTCTGTGGAGCAGAGGGTGTCTCTGGTGCGTCCTAGATTTCATAGCCACAGGTGTCTCTTCCTAACTCCACAATCAGGGTGTGACAAGGATAATTCAGAGTCTCTACAATGCAAGAAACAAGGCTTTCCTGGGAATTCTAATTTTTTTAATTTATTTTAATTTAGTTTTTACATCATTCCCCATTTTGTGTATTTTCTCATCTCGGTTGCTATCCCCGTGGGCTTCCCACCACCACTTCGCCCGTGTGCCATCAGCATAGTCCCTCCGTGTGCTCTTTTCACCCCAGTTTTGATACTATTTCCCTTTAAATGTCTCTGGTTTATAGTTGTTCATTGTTTTTCGTTTTGACTTTCTTATAATTTCTCCTCCCCGCCCCCCCCCAGGAATTCTATTAACCATTTACTAGCATGCCACTATTTCCTAGCCTTTGAAATTCTCTCACCCTTTTCTTACTTTCTTTTTTTTCAGATAGTATTCATGAAATTCATGTATCAACTACATTTATTCGCTCATTTACTCAAGAGACATTATAGATGGTCTTCTGTGATTCTTTTTTTTCCTTTTTTTTATTTTATAACAGTTTATTTTTACATCATTTTGTACTTTTTTTTTTCATCTCAATTGTAATCCTCTCGGGTTTCTCACCATGCCATCACCATAGTCCAGTGCACTTCCCTCCCCACCCCGCCCCACCCCCGTTTCTTTTCTTTTTTTTTAAGAGTTAAAATGAAGTTAATTGAAAACTTGATCCTCCTAACTTTAGAACTTCTCAACATTACTGTGCAAAAGACTTCCTGAGAAGCTTGAATTCTAGGATTGGGAGGTGCAGGATGGAATGAAGATTTTATTTCCAAACGTGTTCTTTCCCAATGGTGAGGTTGCCTGACTGAGACCACACTTTGAGTACTCTGGTTATTTCTTTTTTAACAATGTGGTATTTTCCTAAAAATTGTTCATTGGTACAACCGTGTGTACAGTTCAGAGAAAAAGACAAGAGGGAGGATGATGTGTTGGTGATGGGGAGATAGTGTGTGCCCCTAGGATTTCACATTAGATTTTATATTTCTCATTTCAATCCTTGATTCTCTGGAGGTGAACTTCCTGAAAGCATTTTTAACCCTACATCCCCAGGTCCAGGGAAGGTGACTGTCCTCATTTCCTATCCCATTCAGTTCCCATGGGAAGCACCAGGTATTTCCTCCTCTGGAAACACAAAGGACTCTTTAAAATTGACATGATTAATTTCCTTTTTTTTTTTTTAAAGATTTGTTTATTTATGCATATCAGAACTGGGGTGCAGGCCAGAGGTAGGGGGTGAGAGGATTCACCAGAGACAGAGTGAGAGCAGAACAGGCAAATATACTAAAATGCATTGCTGAGCTGAGCAGCTGGTGAGACAGGAGAGGTCTACCGCAACATGTCAGTCAGCTCCCTGGGCGGGATCAAACTCATGCTGCAGTGGCTGCTGATAGCTTCAGAGTGATGTCATCTTTTGAGTTGAGGGGCTCTTGGGTTCACTCTGGAAAAGGTTTCACCAGAGCTCCCGTTTCAGTGGCACATGGCCAGATTCTTCATGAGACAGAGACTCAGTTATATATAAAGAGTAAGTTTATTAGAAAGAGACAGGAGAGGAAAAGACACTTGCAGAGGTGCACGTGGGCAGGGAGAGCTGCCCCAAAAGGGACAGGCTTGCAGAGGGAGAGGCCTGCATAGTTGCAGGTAGAGAGGGCCCATAGAGAGAGTGGCCTAGGCAGGGGGAGGTCAATGCAGAGAGGTCCCAGCATGGTCATGGGCAGGCAGGAGGCTGCTGCCCCAGAGGGAGAGAGTAGGTGGAAAGAAGCACCTGCATAGGCACAGGTGGGCAGTGGAACAGCTGCCCTGTGCTGGTGGCGAGACTGCCAGATATAGGCAGTTTCTCCTTGGGAGGGGCTCACTCCTTGCTAGCCTAGGTAGAACTTGAGAGGACTGGAGATTTCTTGATGAGCTTCGTCTCCATGTCTTTATCTTTTACCTTTTGGGTCTGAGCTTCAGGCACAGCCCCCAACAGTGTTATCTGCTAGGACCTCTTGGAGACATCCAGGCATCCCGGGCATCCTGGACTTCGGCTTTGGTGCCTGAGGACCTTGATGTTATGGCTGTGTCAGTTGCTGCACCAGCCCCGTCTATCTGTCCCCTGCGTATGACTCAGTCTTGTGATGCATCCCCTGCATTCCTTCCTCCATCACATAGTGTTTTGCTTTAACAAACTCTTGCGCCACCAGGGAGGTCCTAAACATGATTAACTTCTTACCTTAAAATTGCCTTTGAAAATTATAAAGGTATCAAAACAACTACAAACTCAATATAAGTCATCATATACCCAGCTCTCAAAATTAACCACTGCCAAATTCATTTTTTCCCAACTTTTTTTCTAATGCATATATTTCTACTAATTTTCTTCTGTCCGTATAATTTTACATTCCATTATTCTTTTCCTTTTCACATTATACCATAGTAATTTTCCATGTTTATACAAATGTAAAAATATTCATAATTTTGTATAGCCATGTTATATTTTACTTAATTATCCCTCCATTGATGTACGTTCAGAGTAATTTTTTTTTAAATTTATCACTGTTTTACATAACACCGCCACAAAAATGTTTGGGCATGAAGCTTAAGGATAAGGTAGTTGTACTAGGTGTTACTGGTAGTACTAATATTTCAAACAGGAAAGGCAGAGTAGAAGAGAGGAGTATTGCAGGAAACGAGATTTGCTTATTTCCTTCTCATCATGGTGTAGAGGTGAGGGTGAGGTAAGGCAGCTTGTAGAAAGAAAATGCAAGGGCATATGGCCCTTGGGTTAATTGACTCTCTTGAGAAAAGGCAGAATCTCCTCTGATGGATCATTATTTCCAGACCAAAAACTTCAAACAAGTCAATACATCTGTTATGCTGCTGAGCATGATAGTTCAAAGCATCAAGTGTGCCGTTCATTTCATCTACTCAGTGAAAGAATTCAGAATGCACTATGGCGCAAGAGCTAGAGACATAAAGATAAAATGCCCGCTCTTAAATAGCCACAGGGAAGTGAAGTGAAAATGAGAATGCACTATGAAAAGTGGAGACAGGGGATGTCCTGGATATGCAGAGAGGATCATCCAAAGATTGGGGTGAACGAGACCGAATGTGCTCCCTGCCAGCTGACTGGGGGGACAC